ATCGTAAAACCTAGGAGATGGGGAGGATCTTTTGTGGAGGGGGGGATAATTATGGGGAAGGGGGTGCTCATAAAATTGTGGCCTGGTTTGAGGTCTCTCCTATTGTCCCAGGAGGCAGCTGTGATGCTTTGAAAGCGGGGGAGGATATTTGGGGAGGGGGATGTTTGGGGTGGATGGGCGGGCTTTATCCTTCCAAAAAGGGAAGCTGCTTCATTTTTTTCCAGGGGCCCTATCAAGGTATCGGCTCTTTCTGCATATTTAGGGTGTTAATAAAGCGTAAGGGCCTCTATCGGAGCGTTAGTGAGTCGAGTGATCGACCCAGGAGGCCAGGGTTTGAATCCCCGGCTCGGCCATGGAGACTCCAGGGGTGGCCTTGGCAAAACCGTGCCTTAAATATATTTCATTCATCTTGAAAGCCTAGTAAGGTCATGATAAGCCAGACTGTACACACAGTATAGTGTAGTGGGTCGAGTAAGGGATTAAGACTCAAGGGATCTGAGTTCAAGTCACCACTTGATCATTAGAAATTTAACTTATTAGAGAATAGTACTGGTAGGCGAAGCATTTAAGAGTGGTTTTACCAACCCTACTAGGGTCATTACACCTTGGCGATTATGCTGTGTTCTGAAGCTGAGGGAGAAAGAGATTAGGACTCAGGAGACCTGAATTCTGGTCACACTCAGCCATGTGAACTTATGGTGGCACTGATGAAAACGTTCCTTAAACATGTCACCTTGCAACCCATAGTTAAGATCACTAGAAGTCAGATTATTTGTTTATTTTGTTTATATGCCATCCTTTTCCCCAAAGAGGTCCAAAAGGACACACGGCATAGGAACAATGCATGTACCACACACAGTGGTAAAATACGGTGTATAAGTGATTAAATGCAATAAAACTTAACAGTGTAAATCATTTTGTTTTATGTACGTTAATGTATAAAAATGCAGGCCACGTGTGTAATGGAATTGCAGTTCCTAGCCTCCAAGACAACGTCGGCTTCCGTTCCTTCCTGAATCCCTGCAGGGATGTTATATTTCCCAAGAGGAGAATTCCAGACTATGGGGGCAACAGTTTTTCAGCCAATCTGCTTTGACAGTTGGCAGTTTTAGAAGGGCAATTCCAGATGGCTTTAGCTGGCACGGGAGCCCATATGGGAAGAGGTGTTCCAGTCGCTATGTAGATCTCAAGCCATGTAGGACTTTAAAGGTAGTAACTAACACCTTGAACTGAACCTGGGTAATGCAAAATGCCCAATTAAAGCTCACAGCTAGAAGGTTTCTGTAATACAGAAGGTGTCTGGGCTTGGGAATTGTCACTTTATGCAGGAAGGAGGCAGCAGTGCTAAAACTACAGGAAGAAGATGGGAGTTAGAAGAATAAATATGGGATATATTTGGGGTATTTATAAACTTCATATGCTAGATGGTGCTGAAAATCAGTCTGGGCCTTGAATCATCACAGTAGAGGTTTTAGTTAATTTATTTAATTAGTTTTCTCCATACCCATCTAGTGGCCAGGCCACTACTACTTGTCATACCAGGGGTTGTTGTTGATGGGCCTAAATGGTGTGTCCTGCAATGGTTTAGAGGAGCAACAGGATAAACATTTGTGGGGTAAATAAAAGTTAGAAGAAGAGACCTCTCTCTTTAATTCACCTGGGGAGTTGAAGTTGCCCTGTTAGGTAGGGAGATGCTGTGATTTCAGGGATGGAGGCTATGGGAAGAATAGTCAGCGTTTGGGTTGCAGAGATGAATAGTATCCTAGCAAGGAAATAACATAGAAAGGAAAAGAGGCAGGAATGGTGTGTAAATAAATCTTACGGGCAGAAGAGTCATCATTAGGGTCTGGGCTGGGGAACTGTTATTGATTAGAAGAACACTACGAATCTCTTGTTTTTATGACTTTGATGTATGGTGCGGTGTTTTGTTTTTCTTGGCAAGATAATCATGTTGGAGTATTTGAAGAAGAAAACTTTGTATAAGAGTTTTAGCCCCAAGTTGGGTTTTATTGTGTGAGCAAGAGGATTGAAATACAACTAAGGAGAGTTCCTATGACAAGAAGGAATAATGTTGAGATGCAGAAGAGCTGATGAAAGTTGTGCTTCTCCTATGCCCTGTTAAATAGAATTTGATTTTAAAAAAGGAAAATTTATAAGAGCGGGCTATGCTGAAAAGTGGTCAGTGTCAGGGCAGAGTATAAAATCTTAATTTCGCAGTTTATTTTCTGGTGGGCAGTGATTGGTAAAGGTTGATTTTTTTTTTCCAAGCAAAAAGGGGGTAAGATATTCCCCTTCATGTATTTCAGATAGTGCAGTTTAGCAAGCAGTGTTAGAAAAACAGTATGGAATAAATCACATTTAACTCAGTGGGAGCTTGAACAAACGTTTAAAGGATTTGCCTGTCGGGCAATAGATCAATACAGAAAAAGGAACCTCATAGAATAACAGTGTAAGCAGAAGCCAGTCCTTGGTTATTGGACAAACGCCAGTAAAGTGTTACGGGTTTTAATATAATGGAAGCTCGTTTTGGGGATCTATAAACATAAAGCAAGAAAATCTGAATAAGTTTGTGCTGCATAAATCCATGTTTATTTACATGGCTTTTGTTGTTATGTGCTTCCATGTCACCTCCACCTTATGGCGACCCTATGAAATTGTCATGGCTTTTTAGGTGACCTTTTATTTGCTGATTTATTTATACACCTATTTAGTTTTAGTAATAACGTTAAGGCAACGACTAGGAGTGATGGGCAAAGGAAAGCTTGCAGATGTGGGTAGCGCCCATCAGGTGTTGAAGAACTGCAGTTCTGTGGGCGTTTTTTGCCGCTGGCTGTGCTGGCTCGGGATCATGGGATTTGCAGTCAAACATCTGGAGGACTACGCTTTTACCCACCTGTGTACACGCTATAAGTAGTTTTAATGTCCGTCGCCCAACAAGCGACACATGAAATGTGTTTACAAGGCATTATTCCCCACTAGGGACCTGTAAATGTTTCTGCTACAAGGCATCGCTTGCCTCTCTTATCATCTTCCACCTTAGCAGTGTATCTTGATACAGAACTGTTTATGACTGTCTTTCGAAGAGGCTGGTACGTGTGACCTGTCCAGGAATGCTACACATTTATCACAAAAGGCTGCTTTATAGCCTCTGCTTTGGTGCCTCCTGATCTCAGTCGTGTTATGGGTAATAAATGGTCTTTCTATCTCTACCACCCAGCATGTCTGCAAAGATCGTACTTCCCCGCATCAGAACGTTGCATCCTACCTGTTTCCCAAAGAACCTGCAATCTGAACTTTGATAATTGGGCAGAAGAAAAGAAGAAAGTCCTTTTATCAAAAGGAAGAGCATACAGTTAAAGTAAAAGTTATGGAATTAATTGAACTGGAAATTGTATGGAGTGATTTAGTACGGGGAAATGAAATATGGGTCAGAAGAGATAGAGGCAGTAGGGACTTGCTTGTCAAGCTCAAAGCCAGTACGCTGTGCCTAGCAACCTTCTAGCCACTTAGTACCTCGTGCTAAGTCTATGGAGGGCAACCCAGGACATCGTTGAGACTGGGGAGCTCCCTGGTTTAAAAAAGACAAGGGAGTGGAATCATTAAAATGCTTGTTTCTGTTCTTGGGGCCTTTAAGAGTAGCATATATTTGCATGAGGTAGAGTCAGTCCTCTAGGGTCCCTCCACTCAACCTTGGGCCTCCAGATGTTATAGGACTTCAACTCCCAGAAATCCTGGCCAGAAGAGGTGGTGGTGTAGGCTTCTGGGAGTTGTAGTCCAAGAACATCTGGAGGCCCAAGATTGGGGACCACTGCTCTAGGGTCCCTCCATTCCCCCCCCCAAACTAAAATGAAGGTGGAAATGCTCATCCAGGCGAAACATTTTTTTGAAATGGCTCAAAATAAATGTTTCTAGGCCCACTGCAACCCATGCCAGCAGCTGGGGCAACGATTTGGCCCCTCAAAGTTGCCTACACCTGCACTAGTTCATTTCTAGGAAGGATTGTGTTGCCTTCTAAGCCTTTTCCCTGGAAGACTGCTGCGGAAATTTTTTCCCCCCTAATGTTTGAGTCTCTTTATCATACAATGTTTCCAGTCCATTTTTCAGTCATCTGAAGCTGTCTTCTCCATACCTCTTTGAGAACCTTAATGTGAACAAAGCCAAATAACATCAGATATAGTAATACAGAGGCCTGCAGTGACACTTGGAAGGTCTGTAGCTTATCATTTCCCCCAAGCCACTGTTAGGGCATCCTTTTGACTCGAATTGTTGGGCACAGATCGCCACTTGTTAGGCATCCTTTTGCTTCAAAGCATCAGACCTTGCACATGTTTTTAGCCTTTGTCAGGGATTGGCACATGGGCAAGAAACTGTTTCCTGTTGAAAAGAACAGTCCTGGTGAAACTCTGTTTCCTGTGTGAGATAACAAGATAGTGCATCTGCCTGTAAAGGAGTGAAAGGAATATACTGTGGACTGTTGTCTGTAATATGTAAAGTCGCGGGCCATAATTAAGATATTAAAAGTCCTAATAGTTTACTGGTATCAGTATGCTAATATCTTATTTATGGGCAAGGACATAGCCCGATACCTTGAACTGGACAAGATAGTTGCATCTCCCTTTGTGATTTTAAATGTTGGTGGCATAGTGCAGAGGTCGTCAACCCCCCCCCGTCCGCAGCCCGGTGTCCCATGGCCTGAGCTGGACCGGGCTACAGAGACAGACCTCCCGCGCACCCCCTGCACACACTCCCCTCCCCACAGTTCCTTTGCGCACATGCATGTGTGCTTCCCCACCGCTTTGTGCATGCACCTGAGAGCACGCCTGTGCGAGCTGGTGCCTCACCCTCCTCAGAGGCTCAGCCGGTCCGCGGTCCCAAAAAAAATGCCCGCTATGGATGGGCATTTTACTCTTACTTCCTTCTTGTTTCATAGGGTTTAAGGTGTCACTTACATTTTCTAGCAAGGAAGTGAACCCCATCCTGAAAATATAGCTGTACTCTTTCTGTAATCGCATAGCAGTTGTTTTCAAAGCAGAAAAGGAGGCAAATAGAGTTTCAATTTTCAGCTCTTCGAATGGGGTGCATTTTCCTTACTTTGATCTGCTAGTGGTGGTGGTTTCCTGTCAGGGAACTAGGCTGAGAGGTGAGCCTCACACTTTATTTCTCTGTCCTTATTCATTGGAGAATGCAAAGTTCATGACTAATAGCTATTCAGTGGCCGAAGACGTCATGGATGTTCTGAATATATTTAGGCTATTGACTTCAAGACTGACACTCAGCACAATATTGACTTCCTTTTGCCCTGGACAGTTATATATGCCCTTGGCCATCATTTGTCTTGAACCTACAGGTAGAAAATTGTCCTTCCTAGGACTGGTGATAGCATGTTCCATCAAGTGGTTATGCTGAATTAGAGATGGCAGAATTCATCAAACCTACCTAGAATTCATCAAACCTACCAATGGTTTGAGGTAATAATAATAATAAAAAACCAGGCAAGACTGAAATACTCAGCTGCTGCAGATGAGTCAGCTTTCCTGGGCCCTTACCTTTCAGGGTGCATAAGACAACTGATTTACTGCACTTCTGTAAATATGAGTATCTCCCAGTCATGAGTCCATACTGTGCATACCACTAATTGTATCTGTAGAGTACCCAGGATGTGCGCTTTAGTGTACATTACTGGACATGGAGATTATTAGGTCTCAGCAGTTCTTCTGGTTATTACTGTTAAGTAACTGGTTTCCCTATGTTTACACTCGAAGAAACAGACTAATTTCTTGTTGGTTATCTTGACTGCTTCCTTGAAGAAGAGATTGAGGTCCAGTTTTCACGTGGATGCAGAAGAATCTCAGTGCAGTGAGATTCCAAAAATAGCCAAGAATGAAAAATGTTATGAGTAATGATCGTTGTGGGTTTTTCGGGCTCTTTGGCCGTGTTCTGAAGGTTGTTCTTCCTGATGTTTCGCCAGTCTCTGTGGCAGGCATCTTCAGAGGACTGGAGCAGGAACTCTGTCTTGAGGTCCAGTTTTCACGTGGATGCAGAAGAATCTCAGTGCAGTGAGATTCCAAAAATAGCCAAGAATGAAAAATGTTATGAGTAATGATCGTTGTGGGTTTTTCGGGCTCTTTGGCCGTGTTCTGAAGGTTGTTCTTCCTGATGTTTCGCCAGTCTCTGTGGCAGGCATCTTCAGAGGACTGGAGCAGGAACTCTGTCCATGCTGACAGACAGACAGACAGGCGGTCTGGCTGGCAGGCTGCAGTTCTGGATGGAGGGTGCAACAGGCTCTGTCTTGGGGGAGAGCCGGTGAGCGAGGCAAGGCTTTTTTGAGACCCCTGGTGTAGATACTTATCTATTGCTCCTAAGATTAGAATCCTAGAGTAAGAAGGGATCTTGGCAACCATTCAGTCTAACCCCTTGTTAAATGCAGATTCTGCAACACCAGATATATTTACAGCAGTCTCTGACTGATGACTGTCTGGTCTATGCTTAGAGAGCACCAGTGAAGGGCTGCCCAGCAACTCCTGAAATCTGCCCCCACCCTCAGTTGAATCCAGTTCTGGCACTGGGAACAACAGAACATCAACCAGCTCTACCCTCCGTGTGACCGCTCTTTAACTGTGTGCAGGTTTCTGCCTTGAGTCTATTCCCTTCTTCTCCGAGCTAAACATGTTCTGCTTGTCTACAGTATTATATCTGTCTTCTACCTTTCCTCCTGTGAGCACAGGGGTGGTGGTACATGGTTCTACTTTCTCCTCGTAGTAGACCAGGTTGTTGTGCATTTGGCATAATTGCTTCACAAATTCCAAACTTTGTAGACAGTTTGATTCATCTGTGGATTGTGGAGGCCTTTGAAAAATACTTAAAAATGGCATAAAGGACAATTATAGCCTTGGGACTGTTGGGCTAGTGAGATATTTATAATTTCTTGTTTATTTTCATGTAGTTTTGTTTGTCCTGCTTATCCTCAAGCTGCTCTGGAAGACTTCTTTTGAGGCAAAAGATGTATAATATTGTTGTTGTTGTTTAGTTTTGTCCGATTCTTCGTGACCCCATGGACCAGGGCACACCAGGCCCTCCTGTCTTCCACAGCCTCCCGGAGGTTTGTCAAATTCATGTTTGTCGCTTCGATGACACTGTCCAACCATCTCGTCCTCTGTCGTCCCCTTCTCCTCCTGCCCTCGCACTTTCCCAACATCAGGGTGTTTTCCAAGGAGTCTTCTCTTCTCATGAGGTGGCCAAAGCTTTTGAACCTCAGCTTCAGGTTCTGTCCTTCCAGTGAGCCCTCAGGGTTGATTTCCTTCAGTATGGATAGGTTTGTTCTCCTTGCAGTCCAGGGGACTCTCATAAATGTAACTCAGATGATTTCCCCCTACCAGACTGTAAACCATACATTGCTCCCTCCATTGACTTCACACATGTTGATAACCATAAGGAAGCTGTCTGTTAAAAATCTGGACCACCATTACCTGATCTTCTCAGGAACTCCTGAAGTTTGAGATGAATTCCAGATTTGGCTTGAACACCATCCGAGAAAAACCAAGAATTTGCAAGGCTGTATTTCTTGGGATTGCTTGGGGATTGGTGGCCTGTGCTGTGTTGCTGGACAGTTGAGACCTTGACTTCCAGAAAAGACTTCTCAAGAATTGTATTTTGAGGTCAGTGGCTATTGGTAAGGACGTGATTGTGCTAAGGTACATTTTGGCCCAATGCAGAATACACTATATACATCTATCTTTATTTTTCCACAGATGCGTTTGTCTTGTTATGAACTGGGGCCTAAGCAAATAAAAAACAGTTACACAAGCTTGTGTTGAAGGAAAAGGCAAATTTCTGTCCCCACAGGGCTTCCCCGACTGCTTCCATTTATGACAGAAGGTGTGTACGAACTGCTTGAGAAGTTCCGCCTTCATTCACATTCTTGATTTTTCTTTCCAGAATAACCTACACACCATTTGAGGCGTTAGCATGTCGTAATCTTAGGACTTGGTCTCTTTAATATTTGCCTGGCCAGGTGTTACCGAATATGATTTTGCCGCTCCCTTGGTTGTTGTTTTTCCTTATCCCATGAACAATGATTGATTGTGATTCTGGCACGTCAGGTTTTTAAACGTCACACCATCTTATTGGGAGAAAAGGTAGTTCATTTTCTTAGTCCTCGGTTTCAAAACGGAGCCCTTGTCAAACTCATTGTCATTCCACTGGGGTTACTTCTTGTCTGGACCTGCTGCTGCGTCCTCAGGGAAATTTGTGAGCTGTTGTGTATGTCGGAAGCCAGCGACAGTCGGAGTGTGGAGGGGTTACTTTTCTGATCTTCATCTCCCAGAACATCCCAGCCAGTGTGGTCGTAGTGTGGTGTATTCCAGGACTTGTATTGCAAGAATAATTTAGCAGGCTCTGAAACAATGTGATGTGCCGTATTGCGCTGGGATCTTGTTCAGTGTGATAATAGGGAGAAACGGGAAGAAGAAAGCTAGCTGGTCTCAGACCCCACAGATTAGGTGAGTGTTTATACCACTTAAAGGGAAATTGCCTGACCAAGCCGTTGTGGTTTTGGTTTTATCACAGCTTATAATGCCCTATACCCAGAAAGAACACAGGAAGAGCCCTACAAGGTTGAATAAAAGACCTATCTAGTCCAGCATCCTGTTTCTCCTGGTGGTAAGTGAGAAGCCCCAGTTTGAAGCTCACAGGCAGGATGTGAACATGGAGAATCCTCTCCTGATGGTGTTTCCCTGCAACATGGATTTGGAAGCAGGTTGCTCCCGATGGAAATACAACAGACAGTACCTCCTACCCCAAGACATGAGGGCTGTGTGTCAGAAATTCTCCGCTTGGATTCTAAACTGCTATTCTTCACTTCAGCTTAAATTCCATCGGCCACTTGCGTTGGATGACAACAGGTGGCCAAGATGTTGCTCTGCCATAACGTCATTTTCACTCAACCTCAGTTTCCCATCAGTTTCTAGAGAAAGAGCTGCATGTGAGGAAAGTGGCCTGAGCTTGCTTTGGATATTGTGTAGCATTGCAGAGTCACCTTTTCAACTTCTACAAGCTTTTTCATTGTGTTCACTTTGTGTGCTTTTAATGCATTGGTGCTGTTTTAGCAACACAGGATCCGTGTGCCTTTTAAGTACTTTTTTTAAATCATGTTTTGAGACGCCTCGGTTTCAATAAGAAAGGTGGACAGGATGTGAGTAAAATAACCAAATAAATAAAAGCATTTGTTTGCCCAAGACTCAAGAGTCTATTTATGTACATGTACTTCAGGTAGGGTTGTTCCCCCCCCCCAAAGTGGGCCACAGATACCATTTCTCGATTGTCCGAGGAGCCCTCCACCACGGACTGTAACCCTGTCCTCATCAACAGGTCTCGTGGAGGGTCTGGCCTTGGCCCACGGAAACAGAAAGAACTTCCAACAGAACCTCCCTTCACAGCATACGTGGGCAACCTCCCTTTCAACACAGTCCAAGGCGACATCGATGCAATCTTCAAAGATCTCAGTGTACGCAGCGTACGGCTAGTCAGAGACAAAGAGACAGATAAATTTAAAGGTAGGTACTCTTGTGTGTTCTTTGCATTGATAACTTGGGAGTGAGTGGCATCCGTCTTAGCCTAGAGCATGGCCTGTTGAGTTCTTGGAGGGGGGTGGGTGCCTTTTCCTGCCCCAGCCACCTGCCAGGAGCACGCCACCCCTTCCAAGTGAAACAGGAAACGACTGGAAGGTCACTTCCTGTTTGGGAAAAACACCGATTTGATTTGGGAATCAAACCAGTATTTTAGTGGCTGAATGCAGCTCCGGGAGGTAAAATGCTGGGTACGGGGCAGTTGGTTTTATAGGAAAGTTGCATCTTCCAGGAGGCACGATTCTCCAGGTTTTTGGAGTAGTTCACATTTTTCAAAAACAAAGAGGGAAGGGGGAGGTTCAAGGAGCACAGAAGCCGCCGGTGAAATTCACGTAGGTGGCGTGAGTCCCAGCCCAGGCATAGAAGGTGTGCTAGCAGCAGGCGTGTGTATTGATTTATTGTTGCCGTGTAGCTAAAACAGAACAACTAAACAACAAGGAGGAAGAATTGGCATGCTCTGGGAGGATCACAAGGCTTGCAGAAGTAGAAATATGTTGAGGTGGAGAATCTGAAATACCCCCTCTGCTTCCACAAGGAGCAGCGCATGCCATTCCTGCCCACAGGAAGCCACGCAGAGCAAGGCAGAAGCTGCCAGCATGTAGCGTAGGCTAAACTGTGCTTAAAAGCAATGCACTGTTTTGAGCAACATTATAAAACATGAAGCAACTTGACATGAAGCCCTGGTGTGAAAATTAAAGCATTGCCTACAAACAGAAGAGATTGGGTTAGATCTGTGCCACTGGCCAGGACAGACCTTGCTTGGTTTCCAAAAAGGTAACGATGTGTTGACTAGGGTACATGTGCGTCTCCCCAGAGTTTTGGGAAGCCTTGGAAAAAGACATCTCAAAGCCACCCGCCTGTCCTCCGCATGTTACGGCACCCAGAGAAGAAAGGGCTTGTTCTGGTGATGATGATTGAGGAGGCTTGAGTGAGATTACGGTTTAGGCCCTTTAGGTTTATTTGTGTATTGTACTCCCAGTTTCCCTTAATTTCCCTGTGGCATTTGAGGGGACAAAGGGGCAAAGGTGAGGCTCGGCAGGGATGCTACATGGCAGTACTTTGGAAACAGGATCAATGGGTGACCCCGTTTGAGGTTCTGACCTGCCCCCAGTCCTGGTATGACTCTTTTGCCTTTAATATATTATGGCCTGGATCTTGCATCAAGTGGGGTTTGTCCACTTTTTTGCCGGAAAACCAGCCTTCCTTAATTTCATTTCACGAATGCCGTATCTTATTCCCAGTCAGGGAGCTCAAGGCACCCAAAGGGGTCTTCCACTTATTTATTTATTCATTTTCCTTTCATGCTTTTATAGGATTTTGTTATGTAGAATTTGATGAAGTTGAATCGCTTAAAGAAGCACTGACATACGACGGAGCGGTAAGTACACTACTCCTTAAAACAAAAACTGGAATGTAGTTGCAGTTCTTTCTGGAACCTCCTCTACAAGCCGTGATCTTTTTCTCTCTCTTTTTTTTTCATTCCTGCGCCGTAGCTGTTGGGCGACCGGTCGCTCCGAGTGGATATAGCCGAAGGCAGGAAGCAAGATAAGGGTGGCTTCGGTTTCAGAAAAGGTGGCGGCCCAGACGACAGAGGTGATGTTTCAGACAATGGTTTTTATGCAGTGCTGACGGGTTGGTGGTCTTTGGGGCCTCCGGAGCAGACCGTGTGTCTGTAACAGGATGCGCCAAAACCGATGTATCTCTCCAAACATTCCCGGATGATGCAAGTTGTTTGAAGGGTGACGGAGCAGAAGAGCTGGCACACACAGCACAGGGTCAGTCAAATGAATGGGCTAGTAGTCATGTGAGGTCCTGAGGCTTTCATGGGAGAGAAGACCCTCCATGTAGACCAAAGAGACAGAGCGAAGAGATCTTTTGTCAATTGTAGAATCACCGATTTGGAAAAGGCAAGATCCAATGAGTCATAGTTTTAAGAGCCATATTTTTCAGCATCCGGGATCTTCCAGGGGCTATGCCAGCATCCAAATACCCTTCTGCTTCCCCCACATCCCAGGTGACAAAATTTTGCTTTGTGAGAACAAAAAACAGTGAGGTGGTTGTTACATATAAATGGCAGTCACATTCCCAGAAGCACGAATCTCCCTGGTGGGTCCCCCATTTTTTTAAGGATTTTTGTTCCCCTGATTCCTGGGGACTCCAGAGACCAGCTGTGTGGACAAGAGCTGATGGGAGTTGTAGTGTGGCATTTGGGAGGGCCGCAGTTTGCGTGCCTGCTTCTGAAGAATGTAGGGTTAACAAGGTAAGAGAATTCGGTATCTCTTGAGACTCCAGTCTCTAAAATCAGAATGAACAGGTACGTCACTATGAGTAGTCTTCAAAAGCGTGACCCTGATACGCTTCACTGAGCAATGCAGGGCTGTTGATTCAGCTTAATCTCTGCTTCTGCTGCCGTCCCAGCTGTTCAAGAGAAGCTACATGTCCCGTGGGCAGGTGTGGCAGGGCCCGTCTGTGTGATTTCTCTGTGTGCCTTGTTCTGCCACATGATGGAGACCTTGCAAGCTCGGGTGGTTCTGATCTGGAGAGGAGACAGACTTTTACGAGATCAATTTTCATTCTTCCTAAAATGCAAAGATCTTCCAATTGGATAGTGGCTGGGGAGCGGAGGAATCATGTCCTGGGATGTATAAAAACCTGTTCATCCTTTACGCTAGATCAGCACTTCTGTCACGGCCCCCCTAAAACTGGCCATAGATGCAACCAGCTCTTCTTAAACATATGAAGACTTCCCAGGCTAGGAGAGTGACAGAGCGTGTTGTCTTGTGGCAGGTTTTTCTATGCTCCTGACTTCTGGTTTCGCCTTAAAAGTCCAAACCATTGGTGATTAACTTTAAGCCTTCCAGTGCCTCCTGCTCTGCACGCTGCCTGCCTCTGTTCTAAATTCTGTTGCGAAGCATGGCACTTTGTAGGCAGCCGTGCAAGCTCAGAAGCACTCCTCCCTGACACCTTCATTCACACCGATGGCTCGACTATAGATGCCCTCCCCTTTTCCTTAGATCATGGCACCGATGGAGCTGCTGATGCTTTAAAAGGTGGTGCAGGTTGTGGTTGATCGACTCAAAAGGAGTCGCCTCCTGGCCTAACTCAGCCTGGATTCTTAGACATGCTGAAGTTCTACCTTATTATGTGGCTGCCTTTGATGGGTCATGAGGCTGGATGTTCTGAATAACAGGATGGTGGCCCAAAGGGTATTGTCATTCCTGCTGCAGAAAAGGTGCCGTTTTTCCTAAGCTGTGCCTACCCTTGGGGTTGGAAGCAGCTTCACGGGGGCTCAGCTTGAGGATACACTTCTTTTGAATATTTGCACTTCCTGAAGATGCTGGCGTGTTGTGGATCTCCTCATCGCAGCCGTCTCTGATCAGAATCCGGTGGCCTCCCTTCTTTGAGGATAAAACATGCCGTGCTTTCCAAGGGCTTCAGGTCCAAAAACTCGCCTCTTAGTTTAGTCTCATTTTCCTGCACAGTACGGTTGCCTTAAGCTACGAGGACACAAAAGATTGCACCAAGCCAAGAGCGCCTTGGGATTTCCACCCTTGACAGTGGAGCCTTCCAGAACGTCCCGCCTTCCCCATTGACCCGTTCTTGCAATGTGGCTTTCTTTTCAGGCATGGGCGGAGGTCCGCGGGAACCCCGAGGAGGTGGATGGGATTCCAGAGATGACTTCAATTCTGGTAGCAGTATTTCTACTTAATGTTTCTGAAATCTTTTCCAGCCTCTTCCTTTTTTTAAAAAAAAATAAAATAAAACTTCCTTAGGCAGATGGTAACGAGGCAGTCTGGTTGTCTAATAAGGTGGATTTACAGAACAATGTCTGGGTGATCTTTCATTTCTGAAGATGGGGGTCAAGGTCACAAATGTGGGTTTTCTCTTTCCATAGGGGAGTTTCAGCTTCTAAACACAGCTGTGTTGGGGCTGGGCAAAGGTTGGGTTTCCTGAAGACCAGAGGTATATAAGCGTATTTAAATGTCAAGTATACTCACAAGAAACTTCACTTGCTCTGGATTGTGAAATCCCAAGTTACTCCTCTGTGCCATCTTTCAGAGTTTATGTCCATCTATCTGACCATGCCTTGCACAAGCCCAGCAGATATTTCTCAGAGTGAGTGTGTGTCCCCTTAGCTGCCTCTTTCCTTCTCCTGTTTATTGCCATGCAAGACGCTAGGGAGCGGAATGGTTTTTCTGCAATCCAACCTTCTACGTCTCCACCTCTCACAGACAAGGGACCTGGGAATATAAGCCAAGTCTAGCTGCCGTATCCATGGCAGGCGTTAGGGTTGCGTCCAGGTACCAAGCAAGCTAGTGAGTCTCACTCTTAACTAATGCTGGAGATGCTGCAGGGTGGGGGGTTGTGGATGTGATACAGTGGGGTCTTGACTTGAGAACTTAATCCGTATTGGAAGGCGGTTCTCAAGTCAAAAAGTCTGTAGGTCAGGTCTCCATTGACCTACAGTGCATTGAAAACCGATTAATCCTGTAACAGGCCGTTTTTGTTCCATTTTGGTTTTTTTCTGGTCTGTAAGTCAATTCTCAGGCTACAAGTCGAACCTAAATTTTGCGGCCAGAGAAGTCTGTAACTCAAAAAGTCTGTAAGTCAAGCCATCTGTAAGTCAAGGGTCCACTGGTTCTGCAAATTGTTCTCAAGGGCTTTGTTCCTTCCTCTCTTCTCCCTCTCCTGTTGAAGCAGAACAGCATTTTATCTTCAGACTTTCTCTTCTTTCTTTTGGGTCAGCCAGTTTTCAGTCTTAACTTCCACCACCGTAAGGTCGAGAGATGAGTCTCTAAATAAAAAATGGGATTTCTTAGCGTCCTTTTACAGACGACATCAGTTGAGTACAGATTATTCTGCTAGCTAGGAGATGGATCCCGGATCAGTCGTAGGAAGCAAAGGAGGAATAGCACGAATGTGTAGCTTATTTGTGGTGCATGCCTTCTGTTTCGGGAAACGGTGGACTGAAATCCCTCAAAAGGGGAGAGTTGCATTGATTTCAGATGGTAGGAGCTGCATTCAGACTTCCATGTCAGTCTTTGGTTCCTTTACACATTGGGTTCCCCAATAAAAATGCTGCCTTGGTTTGATACAGCAATTCCAAAGCAGGCAGAATTTAAGCCAAGCCAGTTATGTATGCACGTGTTAAGAGGAATATTGTTATTTAATATTCTAATAGCAGAGCTGTGAGATCTGCAATAACCAAGTGGTTCCGTTCACCAGAAGGCTGTCTGGGAAGGAGAAGAGAGTAGTGATGGGGTTGTGGAAGAGAGAGGAGTATTTCCTTCCAGTATCCAGAAGTATAAAATATCAGAGTGCCTTTTCCTCAGCTCCGAACAAACTCTGTTTTTGCTGAACGCTCGGGTGTGTTGTTGAGCTGCTGCCTGTCCAGGTCTCAGAACTTCGCTCCGCAGCACGCTTCCCTCTGTGAGCCAGGCTTCCCCCCCAGTGGGCGGGCAGGCAAGCAAGATGGCTCATGGTGACTGCTGTGTCCCTTTTGGCAGGCTTCCGAGACGATGACTTCCTAGGTGGTCGAGGCCGGACACGTCCTGGCGATCGGCGAGGCGGTGGCCCTGCAATGGGGGGCACTGGCCGCTTCCGAGATGGCCCTCCCCTGCGTGGATCTTCCATGGATTTCAGAGAGCCAACAGAAGGTAGGCAGACAGTCCCCTCCTCCTGAGGTGGGCAAAGCATTTTTGTGACATCTTTTCCAATGACGTCTGCCTTTAAAATCACTCTATTATCCATGTCCTCCCAAAGGGTCCTATCATTAACACAGTGCACTTATTTATTGTAGGACCCCCGTATCCACTGGGGATTGGTTCCAAGCCCCCTCCCAATGGATACTGAACATGGTTAATAATAGTGAATGCAAGAGAAAGAGAGCATGGTAAAGGTGGTGAGACAAAAAAATCACATGTATTACCAGAACCAGCCACTAGAGGGAGAAAGAGGCCATGCTATGAATACTTGTTAGTGAAGAATACATAGCATCTCTGGCACTCTCTAGTGGCTGGGTCTGGTAATACATGTGAAAATAGGTTTTTTTTTTCCTTGAATTTTTTATTTTCATGTTTTCAGACTGTGGATGTGAAACTGTGGATACTGATCCTATGGTTATGGAGTCCTACTCTATTTATTTAAAATGCTTTGACCTCTCCTTCCATCACAAAGAGCTGCTATTTAAAGCTAAGAAGAATGACTGTAAAGAAGCTGCTTACATCATTGAAAGACAACGTTATGAGCTTGCTCTCACATTGCCCTGTCTCTTGTCCCGCAGAAGAACGGGCCCAGCGGCCCCGACTCCAGCTCAAGCCCCGGACGGTCGACACCCCCCTCAACCAAGTAGCCAACCCCAACTCGGCGATCTTTGGCGGCGCCAAGCCCCGGGAGGAAGTCGTAAAGACCGAGC